TTTAAAAATCCTCTTGCTGCTTAATGTGTCAGTGAATGTGGAAACGTTACGTTTTTTTTCTTCCCTCCCCTTCAGAAGAGCTGTCCATCAGCATATCTGTGTCCAACTGCCAGATCCAGGAGAATGTGGTAAGTGGAGCGTGTATTTCTTATGAGAAGCTGTTGCRCAATTTCCCAGCAGCAGCCTGAAAATCCGTGCATTAATTTTCTATTAAAGTATCTGTTGTGGTAAAAGAAAAAAAAAATCACAGAAATTGCATCTTACTGTTGCTTTAAATAACACATCCACTGTTGCACGAATGAGGAAGCTGCGTATGATTTTCTCTTATATTTTTTTTAAGTCGGGGGGACGAGGTCGTGGGGTTTTCTTTTCAGTTCCACTTCTGCACAGAGTGAAAGTTGAATATTAGGCAATACTCCAAAACATCTTGGAAAAACAACATTTTCGCTAAACCGTAGATGACRTCATTGTTGTTGATGCTAATATCAGAATGAGAAGTTCCCTTGAATGTTTCCACAAGGAAAACAGTCATTGAGTAACAAATTATTATATTTGTGCAGGATATTGCCTCTGTGTATCAAATATTCTCTGATGAAGTGCTGGGATCAGGTCAGTTTGGCATCGTGTACGGAGGTATGTTCCTTTACTTGAATAGCTACACTCCATATATACTTTGTTTAAATTGTAAATTGTATTGAATGACATTATGATTTTTTTATATATATATTTTAGGGAAGCACAGAAAAAGCGGCAGAGATGTGGCCATAAAGGTTATAGACAAAATGAGATTTCCTACTAAGCAGGAGAGCCAGCTACGGAACGAGGTGGCCATATTACAGGTAAATAATAACCCAAAGACRCCATTGTACTCTGATGCACCTGAGTAAATTTCTTTGCCATGCYGCTCATCTCCGTATGAGTCATGTCAAATGCTTTGTCTCCCTTTCGTTAGAATCTGCATCATCCGGGTATCGTTAACCTGGAGTGCATGTTCGAGACACCGGAGCGGGTGTTTGTCGTCATGGAGAAGCTGCACGGTGACATGCTGGAGATGATCCTGTCCAGTGAGAAGAGTAAACTACCAGAACGGATCACCAAGTTCCTGGTCACTCAGGTTTGTGCTGCTGGAACAGGACTGTCTCTTCGCTTTTATTTTATCACCCGCTTTCTTATTAAACTCACTGGTTTCCTTCTGATTTCTGTAAGTCAAGTGCAAACAAACAAAAATGCTAATATACACRACAAGAAATGTGCAAGCAATAACGTCATTGTCTGCGTCTGTACGTGTGCGTGCAATTGTTAGCAGTAAATTTAGCAAGTGAATTTGCATTTCCTGCAAAAATGCAGTGTGAATGCTTAATGCTGAAAGATTTTTCTGAATACCTTAAAAAAATCTGATATYAGCTTAAAATGTTTTTATGTTATTTTGCCATTATTTATCCAGGGAAATCCCATTGAGATCACAGATCTTTTGCCTGAAGGCAACCTATTGTACATATTTTTTGGGGAAACCGGAGTACCCGGAGAAAACCCATGCAAGCACAAGGAGAACATGCAATCTCCACACAGAAAGACCCCAGGTCCAAACCCAGGACATTCTTGATGTGAGGCACCAGTGCTAACCACACAGCCATCATGCTGCCAAAATAACTTAAAAAGTAGCTGAAATAAAAGAAATTAGCACACAGAAAAAGAAAGAGCATGTTTGCAAAATTAAACATTGAGAAGCTGAAACAATCACAAAAAACTGAATTTAGCTTAAAAAAAAACTAAAACTAGGTATAAACACAGAAAACAGCATAAACTAGACATGGGTTTTTACGATGTAAAATCAGGTGTGCATTGCCATGTAGCATATCATTGCAGGATGGCTTTGCCTGCAGCAATGGACTTGCAGAAAGAACTGTGACCAAGTGCAAATGTGTTCTCCACACCAGCTTGTGCTTGTCAAGTCAGCAGGTGTTTGTAATAAGGGTAATTGTGTGACAATATGAAGTTTGTAGAGATTTT